TATTGTTGCTGAACATGTCGATCCCTATATTACTACATTATACCAATCTTCTGATGACTAATTTGAGCAGGATAACACTATCTCACAAAGCTCAATGCAGCTATATGTAGCTCTAATGACCAATCACATTGGAACAGGGTTACAGGCGGGTAAACAGTGCATGTGAAAGTAACAAAAGAAAGCTATTGCATCTGCATTTCAGAACCAGGTTCACGGAGTTGTGGTAGTGGGATGGATGTATAGATAAACCAATATAGAGCTGAATTGATGAAAGAGGTGTTTATTAAACACAATCAATAAAAGGAACAAAAATGATAGTACTTAGACAACATAAGGGTCTTGGGATCTCTTGTAGGGGCCAAAGTGTTTTATAAATGGCTACATGTTGGCAAAATTGCGTATTTGGTGTTTGGGTCTGTAACTCAAATACCTGAGGGTTGTTTTTTTTTAGTTTTAACACCCCTTTTATCTCAAGGAGACATAAAGGTGCTGATCTCTTATTCATTTGACTGTCAATAACACCTTGTGTGTTTCATCACTTCACAGTGTCTATATTTCTAGTTAACACTTCATATGAATGTAACACAAGTCTGCACAACCACGGCAGTTTTAAGTAACTTTTCACTGGCTGTGAAGCTACTGTTCAGTGTATTGTAAACACAGGACATCTGCAGAAAAAAATCCACTAATGTTTTTCTCTGTGAAGCGTCAGACTTTCATCAAGCTGTTTCCCTCTGCATATTTCGATTTCTCTTTCTTCCTGTCAGAAAGCGCACACAAACAAAAATGAAGGACTTCGAACATGAATCTCTCTGCGGCAAATGCCTAATTGGAAAACTGGGCTTTTTAAGCACACTCTTGTCTCTTAGACATCAAACACTGATTTTCTTTCTGCTGTCTTCCTCCCTCCTCCAGTGTTTTTTTTTCCCAGCACATTTCTATTTCATGTTTTGAAATTTATTTTTCATTATCCTGAAACATTTCTGCAAATCAATTCTATGATCTCTGGCAGGGCAACTATAGACATCTCCTGTACACTGTACCACATCAACATCACACCTGAAACAAAGATAACATATGTAATATGCTAAATACTTTAAATTTTACTATATACAAAATAGTCGCAGGTAGATCAAAAACTTTAAATTAACTGTAAAGAACCAGAGGCAGCTCCAGCCACATACTGGCCAGTCTGTATAGCAGGAATGGGGCTACAATGGCTCCAGTGCCACTAGCTGATGAACACACTGACACACCCAGATTTCTGTGAGAAATTAAAACTGACAACAGGCAGTTAGAGCCACATTGGTCTGAAAAGTGAAGCCAATATAGAAGTGTTTTAAACCTGCTCTTTTTGTAATGGGCACCAGAGGGCGATATCGGTGGTTGAAAGGACTGGTAGACTTTTGCCTACAGAGATTTCACACATGATGCAAGTGCACATTGCTTTTGAGATGTCTCCAATAATGTGAATGTGATACAACCACTGGTTGGCGAGTGGTTCCTAGCAGTTGTTCACTGGGTGAAATCAGTTCAGCTCTAAAAGCTCCTATACTCCTATACTCTTTGTCTGTAAACTGTTAGCCGATAAACGTCTAGCTGCACAGTCAGATCCATCCTTCACTTGTCACCTTCAATTTCAAAACCAAAATGGCCGTGGTGAAAGTGAGTATCTGAGGGAGCATCAACCCCTTGTTGACCAGCAGATAAAATATGAGCCCAATGGGAAGCTCCACCACAGCACAGAAAAAAATCCAAGAAGACATTGTTACGTGCTTGTAAACCTGGATCAAAGAATTATAGTATGGTACCATCGTGATGTATAAAAACATAAAATCCTTAATTGTAGTTTCAGACTGATTTACCAAGTATACATTAAAATTAGAGTGTTTTTTCTTATATTTGGTGTCCTGAACAAGTCCATAATTGACATAATTGGGTGTACTTCCTTCTTTTACTCCTAATGAATGATCTAAAAACATTTTAATAGACTGTTAAAATATTCCATTTGTAAATTGCATCTCCTATGTTAATAAGATTATACAGTTGTTCAAAAATGTTGTCATACCTCTGGTAGATCATGTGATAAACATTTCCCATTGCATTTAGCATTGTTTGCAGCAACTTTCATGGCCTCCGTAGTTCTTTGTTGTGAAAACAACCAGTGTGGATCCTTTTAACAAACATAACACAACTTACTATTGGACTCAGCGTGAATATGAAGTGAAGATTAAGCATTGAATGTGTCACATTGAAGGAAAATTATATTCATACCAATGGTTTGAGATAAACAGGATGCAAAGAAGACTCATGGCCAGCTGCAGAGTCTTCCAGGAGGACAGGAAGTAAGCCAGACCAGCCAGGCAGGATAACCATGCCAATAGAGTAGGAAGTTCAAATCACCATGGCCACAAATTTCCTGTTGTTGGACCCAAAGAACTCAATCACTACGTAAAGAAAATAACATGTTTTAGCAGAACATTGAAAGCGGATCAGTCTAACACAACAAAGGAGACAATATGTGACAAAATATGCTAAATTAATAGTCAAAGGGTAGATTTGATTTTTCGCAGCCAACAACCTAGTGTAAAAGATGGATAGATAGCTGCTAAGTCTAAGAATAGGGCTCCTTAAACCTCCATTCTATCTAGTGGCCAACAAGGGGTTCTCTAGTTAAAAAATAAAAGTATAAAAATGTACAAGAAATCATTGTGTAGTTTTCACTTGATTTGATATGTCACTATTCATTTTGATAATGGGATTATAGTTGGAATCGCTAGTTTTAAGCCCTACTTAGTACAAAATCATGATCATTTTATAAATTATTTTCCAATTTAAAGTAAATCAGATGACAATCCAAGGAAAGATTACGCATTGCTACCCTGTAAGTTGCTACTTTATATCCTCAGTGATTTGATATCTTGTTTTAAAAGAGTGATGAAATGACTAAAATGCTAAACAAGCAATCAAAAAGGTCCATAAACGGTGACGTCATCTAGGGTCAATGAGTTAGAGGGGTATGCTTAAATTGATTTGTTGGTGAAAAGAAAAAAATGTGTTGTCATTGGTGCATAGGTTTATTATAACCTGACAGCTGGGTAACCTGTCACAAAAGTTCCAATGAAAAATCCACATGCCAGGGAAACTTGATTCAGGTCGGCGAGCCAGGATCTAAAAACTAGGTGGGAAGGAATTCCAAGAAACACAAAGATTAACACTGTTTTCCTTTGTGATTTCATGACTATAACAGTAAAATAAACCTAGTAAAAACCAAAGAACACAAACGAATGTGTGTGACGAGAATAGCAAGGGGGGCAATATTTGAAAGTTTAGATCCAGGAAAAGACTTCTTTTCACAACTGAAAATGGATTTCTTTAAAACTCTCATGGTAACATGGCTCACTTGTTTTATTTTTAGCTGCAGGACAGATTAGGTCATGTTCCAGAGTTACACAACATCACATGAATATTACATGTGATGCAATGAGTTTCTTCTCAAGTAGTCAAAACATGAATCAGTCTAATGCAAACCCAACCCATGAGCTCAATTACAACAGCTGTAAAATCAATTTAATGATATATGGCATTATACTATGACATCATTGGAGAAATAGGAAAAAAATGACCATTTACCTTTAAAACAATAGTAGTGCGGTTAACACCCATCTGCTTTCGCACGCCACCGTCTGGGTTGCATTAGAAATCCGCTGCCAGTCAAGTTCATCATATTTCTTTTGGCTTTCGCTCCAGTCCACTGCAAATCTCTCACAACGGCTGAAAGATCCAGACTGTTCTGAGTGGGGAATGGTCACGTCCCGCACCTTGACATCACTCCATCCACATTCCTCCCAGAGGCCCTCAGATCCATGACTCCAGCACCAGTGATCCAGAGTGTGGCCTAAGAAAACAACTCCAACAAGTACAAAAGCGAAAACTATCAAGTGTGGCAATCTTCCTCTGGAATGGCCCAAAGTCTCATATCTGCATGATGAGTTTGTCCACGTTTGCCATCTCTGGTGATTAAGGACTGTCTTAAAATGATGGGTCTCTTAAGCAGTTCTAGTCTGAAGATGTCTAAGAAGAGTCTTGATCAAAGGCCTGCTTCTTTTTATAACTCTTGAGTTTACTGCTCATCATTTCAAGGGTTTTGCGCAGGCTTATGTCATTAAACATGCAGCATTATGAAGCTTGATCCTGTGATTTATGTCTGCAGAGGTGCATTTTCTGCCTTCAGCCTTCATCTTGATTTTTATCGTTAAGATATATTTTTGAACTGCTCTTCTTCTGCTATTGCAAATTTGGCGAGAATTTTTCTTGCATCATTTTCTAATCATTGATTGAAACTCAGATATGAGAAGTAGCAGTTTTAAAATCAGATTTTAAAGTTGAAAACAGTTATTGTTTCTGCAAAATGTATGCTTTTTAAGGTAAAATGCCATGTTTAAATGGACTTCATTTATACACCAGGTTTTATCACTTATCAAAGGACAAAAGAGGCTTCAGACCTTAGAATAGAGGCTGTGCTGCATCACCTCATTTTCGCAATGCTGTGTAAGCAATTGCAAACTGTGGAAACCCAACCATAAGTTGTAGTTTGTTATTATTACCTGATGTTGGACTTCAACCACTCAGCAGTTTGCACTTTTTGTTTCATGTGACAATGCATTACATGCAGTCAGTGGGTGACAGATGTGCACTTCGGACATGTTTAGGATGCATACTCTTACTGTGGAGCTGTAATTTAAAAGGGCTGTGTGTCGTTAAACACTTAGATGCCTTGACATATGTGCAAGTTACCCGTAGTGCTAATGCAATCCAAGAGTTCCAAGTGGGAAACTGGGACAGTGCAGTGATATTGTGTCTGTCATACGTTTTCATATTTAATGTACTTCCTATTTCATCATCTTATCTTTAAACTTTTAATCTGAATCTGGTCTCTTTGGCTGGTTTGTTGCTTGTGCCTCCATTACGTTCTGTAATTGATTGTGAATTCTGCTCTCTACCAGAAGGTCCTGAATGTCCAGTCATCAGTTTATACACTGAAGTTCAAGCTCACTTGATTCACTTAATACAGCAGGATATCTGAATGGCTAAAAAATACCAAAACTAAAATAAAGGCTTGGAGTGACCTTATCAAAATCCAAACTTAAATCTGATTAAGATGCTGTGGCATAACCTCAAAGAGGCCGTACATGCTTGAAAATCCTACAATGTGGCTGAATTAAAACAATTCTTCAAAGAGCAGCAGCCAAGATTCCTCCACAGCGATGTGAGAGACTCATTGCCAGTTCTTGCTAACGCTTGATTGCTGCCAAGGGTGGCACAATCAGTTATTAGGTTTAAGGGCAATTACTTTTTCACATGTAGATTTGGATAACTTTTTTCCCTTAATAAATAAAATAATTTTATTTGGGGTTATCTTTGGGTTATCTTTGTCCAGTACTGACATTTTTTTCATGATCTGAAAGATATACATATGACAAATAAGGAAAAAATGAAAAAATCTAAAAGGTGGAAAATACTTTTTCACAGCACTGTATAAAAAAAAAAGTAATACCTTTAAAGCAGTTCTCACAAAATTATCGTTTCAAAGATGGCTTAATAATCACATTTATCTTAACTTGATACAAAGAATGAATCAGCTGACATCATCTGTTTCTTTTTCCCTTTAATTAAGTCATGCCGTGCATGAAGGATTTTAATATTCACTGTGCAGATAAAATGTCCTCCACTGAGGGTCGGTCTATTGGACTCTGGCAGCGGTGAGAGAACAGCACCCTTCCATGTTCGTCCAAAACAAAGTTGCCTCCCAGCTGGAACAAATGACAGTAACGAGAAATTATTCATAAATCTTAAAAGTCTTTCTTTGTGGTGAAAATTTAGTGAATTTCTCTATCACCTCTTAGAATTCATTAATACATAGATAGATGTGTTGCACAAAATAGTCATATTGAATTCTGATGACCTGAAACATGTCGTCTTGAATCCACGGAAGCTCTCGTGGAAACTCCATGTCGTTCGCTACATATTCAGAGTAGATCAGCATGTTACCGAAGTTTAACACTTTCTGCAGAGATGCTCCCAGACCAAATGCACTATACATCTGCAATACCAAACAATGAGTTAATTTATTTATTCATCAAAGACTGAAATGTGTATTGTCTGATGTTGACCCCTGACCTTTCTACTGGGATCCAGCAGCATGTCGTACTGACAGCCTGTTTGCTCTACCCAGTGTGATGCTCCCTCCTGACAGCCAAACGAAATGACCACCACTTGTACTAAGTGTGCATCCAGAGAACTCTGCAAAGTAACATTAGAGATAAAAGTATATGTAAGTTTTATATACTGTACTGGGGGATTTTAGAGATCAGCTGATTGTAGATACTTATGAGAATATCACACTGCATATACACCATGGTGCAGAAGTCTTGAGCCAACAGTTTACTGAAAAAAAGAAAATAGGAACACAGTGTATGGGGCAAAAACAGCATGTGTACTTTGAACTTGGGCATTCAAAACTCTTCTTTGGATGTTGCTGCCTTTTGTTCCGTTCTCTGGTATCTTAACAGAGAATGGGGGGGGGAAAAGCCTGATAGCCTTGAGGCTATTGTTGGGATTTTGGTGCTATATAAATAAAACTATTGAATTTGATTAAACTGAATGATCAAACACTGCTTCAATAATGAGTCCAGGATGTGGGGAGGCCGGTGTATGCCTAATTATGTTTCATTGTGTGTTTTTCTATCTATCCATGTTTACTTTTACTGCATTAGCAGTGTTTTTGGGATCACTGTCAATCGGACGACTTTCAGATGGTATTATTGCGTGGTGTATCAACATCTGATGATACTTTTCTACATTCATAATACCATTTATTGACAAGAACCCCAACACCACTGATTGAAATGCAGCCCCATATCATGATAGAGTCATGTATTACGGATGACTGTAGATACTCACTACTTCCTCTTTAATGATTTCCTCTACACACACTGATTACAATTAGACCCAAAACTTTTAAAAAAGACACACTGCACAGCATGTTGAGATATGCAAAGTTTTCACCTTATAACTCTTTGGTAATCATTCTTTTGGTTAAGCATTGTTATTAGGTGTGTGATGTTTACTTGATTCTTCTGCAGATCTTGAACGTGTAGACGGCAGAGCAGACAGGAGAACTGACGGATTAACACCAGCAATATCTTCTTACCTCTCCCAAGATATTTCTGCAGCGTTACTGTTCTGTCAAACAAAAAGCCTCAGTAAAATATAAAGGTGCAAAGCAGACAGCACCAATGACGCATAAAAACTGGCAGATATATGAGGTTCATTGTTACGCTTTTTTAATAAGTGTGGAAGCATTAAAGACTTTCATCAAACCCACTCTCCAGTTCTGGCATCGATGAGCGGCGTATCTGGTGAAATGCATTTTGATTGATGATCGACATTGTGTATTTTAGGACTCAGTTGTAGCTCATCATCCAAACGCTGTAGAAAGGCATCCCACTGCACCTGCGGTACATTGGCTGCACTACGTAAAATGACCGTGGTGAGTATGCTTTTTAAAAATATTTTACATTTTGTATTAAAAGAACTCACTTCGAGCTCTTTAAAGTCCTGACGAGCTTCTCTCAAAGCAGCACAGCTGGGAACATCATGCAGAATAGTTTTCAGGGGTCATGTCAGTTTATTAAGGCTGTGACTTACTGTACTATGTGAATCAGTGAGTGGATGCACAGCAATTGTGACAGCACAAGCTACAGCTGATTTGGCCTTTGTCATGTAATCTAGATGATAATACCTCGATACATTGTACAAGTTGAATTTTTGTGCTCTTACTTTGTATTTTTGCTCCAGAGATCCTCTGCATCCTTTTTTCGTTTAACAGACAGGCTGTGAAGCAGAAAAAATGGGCCTGAAATATAACACTTCATTACATATTTTAGCTAAAAATATTAAATATAATAAGGTTTAACAGAAGAGGTTGCTTAGTTAAACTGAAGGTGGGACTTTAGACCTGTTGTACAGAGTTGCACCGGCTTCAATCAGACCCAGCAGTGACTGTTTACGCTCTATGCGGATTTTCTGCCTGACGAATTCTTGGCACGAGCCTGTGCGTCACAAAGTGCATGAAGTTAGCAGCTAACCATCTGTTTCAGAGGATTCTTTATGTATAACGATTGATAGGACTTCCACAACCCCTGCTCATGCTACGTCCATAAATTGTTTGACGACTGGTGTCTATTTTTATGTACACTTGTGTGACCTACCTTCCCTGCTTTCCTTCTCAGCGAGGTCCAGCAGAGCTTTTCCTTTTTCGACAAAAGATGAGAGAGCTTTTGCACAAGAAATTGCAGTTGAATCTGGTTGTTCTGCCATTTTTCTTTTAAACTCTCCAGCCTCTTATCGGGGACTGCAGTAACAACTGCCTCTGCTTTCTCTCAAAGTCCAGTCTGGCCAAGTTTAGAGCCAAAAGATTTTTGACTGAAGCTCAGTTTAAAGGGGAACGTCACTGATTTGTGACACAAGTGTTTGTTTGCAGGTTTTAAATGACTTATAACAAAACATTTAATCAAAACTGAAATAAAAGCCAAAAAAACAGAAAGGTGAAAGAAAGGAAATAAAATTCTAAAATAAAATACATTCTTTGACATCAAGCCCGTTTTATCGTTTAGTTATGCTATAACTGTTCACTGATTTGGTACAGTATCACATTAGGATACTAATAATTGTGTTCACGGGTAATTGGACACTTTTTTTAATGAGCAGGTGAGATCCATTGTTCCATTATTCCATGACAAACTAAGCAGCTAAACGATCTGAAATTGAAGTGCTGAACATTTAGTAGACGTCTCAATATCCATAGTGATGTCAATTGAAGTGAAGGAGACAACATTAGCTGAAAACCAAAATAAACATTTCAGGGACAGAGAGAGAAAACGTAGGAGTGCCCAAATCAACAATCTGGTACAGAGAAGGAATGCAGTGACCAGCTCAGCAACACGAAA